CCTTCAGATCTAGGTAAACAACTGAAAGTCTCATTAACATTTCTCACTTTTTATGTTTTCTTAATGATTTCAAAAACCAAATTGCCACTTGAGAGCTATCGTCTCTCACCAAGCCTGGTGGAATTCCCCCAGGCAGTGGAATTGGCCACTTCAACAGGCTTCAGAATGCTGCCGCCACCAGATACTAGTGCTTTCCCTTACTGCATCTTTCTAGTCGTTCTTTCTAACAAATGGCCTGGGAGTCGTTTGAGTGGGTCTCCTTCAGCCTTAATTGCGTATGTGTAATTGTCATGGTATATGGCCCCCGGAGGTGACATCCTATCAGTTATTTTGTTTGTCATCTAAATTAATACACTCTGGCATACTCCTTCCTTCAGGTTACTCCAACAGAGTTCTTGGATAGCGCGATTGTCAGTAATACCCTATATTATTACTTAGTCCATATGCTGCTCGGTTAAATCAGGTCATGTAAACCTGCGTGTGTTGATTATTCTCATCTCGTTCCTGAATGTGCTTTTCGGATCAGTTCTGAGCCGAGCAAGTGTTCTCAGCGATGCAGAGCTGGTCAGGAGGTTTTCTGACAGACTTCTGACGCTGGGATCCATTTTCTACCCAAATCCCCAAATATCCATTAAGTAAATAGCTTTTCATGGCACACTACAGGTTCTACTCAACTACCAAGATGTTGTTGTTATTCAATATTTATTTGAATTTTTTTTTTTTTGTTTGAAGTATTGCATCTGGTGCCCTGAAAAATCTGGTTGGGTGTTTTTGGCGATTTTTTAATCACATTCCATCACACTCTTTTCTGAAAATGAAGGTGACTGTATTGTTCTAAATGATGTCTTCATACACGTCTTTCCAGGCTGGAGGCGTGATTGCTTTCCACTGCTACTAAAATGTCCTGGAGTCAAGGTGTTGATTTATCTTGCATGGAATAACATTTGTTCCTAGCCCCGTTTGGAATATGACAGGTACCTGTTAGCAGCAACCAGACTTATGAATGTTCAAACTGGAACACTTTATCTGCAGCTTTTGTCAGTTCTTCACTCCCATCCTGAACTGGAAATGCTGTCGTTGCGTCTTTGTTAAAGGCATACAACTGAACAGTTTGGGGGGAGTTAGATGCCAAGTGTGGATTGTGACTACTGCAATTAATTGGCATAGCCAGTGATGTGAGAAGATGAGGTGGAGGGCAGCAGAGTATTAGCAGTAGTTTTGACCAAGAGTTCCATCCATGGTGGGTGCCCACCAAGAGCCCGGAGCAATGAGGGACCTGCTGCCAGAGAGCTGTGAAGCCCACCCGGGCTTGCAGACAGGTCAGTGGTGTTCTCTGCAGACTCCCTCCTGCTTGCCCCTCCCTCAAATCTGGCGTGTGCTTAACCCACAAATCCCACTGATTTGGCTCTAACCAGGAATGGTAAAGACGATAGCTCACAATTAAGGCACGAGTGCTCCGTAACATCCATGTAAGTGGGTGTAAAGGAGCAAACTTCCCAGAGAGTGGGGAGGCACTGGGACAGGTTGCCCAGAGAAGCTGTGGATGCCCCATCCCTGGAAGTGTCCAAGGCCAGGCTGGATGAGGCTTGGGGCACCCTGGTCTAGTGGAAGGTGTCCCTGCCCATGGCAGGGGGGTTGGAACTGGATGGTCTTTAAGGTCCCTTCCAACCCAAACCATTCCATGGTTCTATGAAACTCTGTAAGTACTGGTGCAAGGGTGAATAGCAGCAAAGCTAGGTGCAACACAAATACTCTCTGTACTTTCAGCATGGAGATAGAAGAGGCAAAACTACTTGCCTGAGAAAATTTTCTGCCTCTGTTTTGCTAAATGTGTGTGTGTGTAGAAGAAGTGATTTCTTCTCCAGAGTTGTTTCTCCAAGCTACTGCAGGTCCCAGTACAGCAGTAAATGGGTTGGCTGGCCTGACATGTTCTATAGGAAAGCAGCCCCTTCCCATCTCCAGATGTGCAGACCATCTCTGCTGTGCCCGGGCCAGAAGCTAAACTTGAACAGAAACAGAAGAGCGTGGCTGCTGGCCATTGAAGACAGTCAAAGAGGAGAGCGTGTGGCTGACGAGACTGTAGAGAACCACATGCCAAAGAAGAAAAGTGGTAGGAACGGTTGTAGTAGCCAGAGTTTGCTCTTACTGATTTTGACCTCTGAGTAGAAATACTTTTGGGGTTAAAGCAAGATTTCAAAATAGAGCTTGTTCTAAAAGCTAAACAAGAAGGGTTGCAACAAAGTTGGTGCTTCACATCGAGTGTGGCTCTGCCTAGTCCCCGAGGTCAGTTCTTCATTTTCCATGATGGAATGGGTTTTCCTACAGTCATGTTCATCTGAACAAAACACCAATTAGTTTTGAAGCCTCTCTGTTTTATTCCAAGAATGTACTGGAAATGACAATGCCCTTATAATAAAAGGGGAGGGGGGGAGCTAAAAGGTTCAAATGCCCATGAAGAATTCCTTCTAACATTGTGTATTTGCCCATGTTATTGTGAATCTCAAATGATACCGGCTCTCGCTTGGGAGGCTCTGACCTCTTCAAGGATAGTTTTATGCAAACTGGGAAAAAAAAATAGAGTATCTTTTGTAACAACATGTCAAAACAGAAACCAGCACGGAATATTCAGTGCTGACTGCTCTGAGGTAGGCAAATTCATTTAGATGACATGCTAATGATGCTGCAGGAAAGAAACTGGGGGGAGGGGACAGCCGTGTAAGAATAAAATTTATGGCCAAGTATGTCGTTATCTTTTCCTCTCAGAAAAAAATAGTGTGCTTTGTTTTATGCATTATTTCCATTCCTGATGTTATTTTATGTGCTTGGAAGATAAGTAAGAGTGGAAGTAGTTCAGTTTATTAGGCGATAGCTTAATAAACTGTACAACAATATAATTTATTGAGGAGAGGGATTATCGAGTTATGACACTGTTACTGCAGTACGTGTCGTCGACGCAGTCCTTGATCAGTGCATGGATTCTGACTGAGCAAACCAGCTCCTTCCCAGGGTTTTCTTTGGGCAGGTTCCCCAGGCTTCCTGCACGGCCCAGGGCTGGGGTTGGAGTAACACAACTGCCCCAGGCTCTGCTCTGCTCTTCCAGGGCCTTGTAAACCCCTCCCTGTGCCCCCAAAAGAACAAATGGCTTCTTTGCAGTTCAAGGGAAGGAAATTGTGCATTGGCTCCAGAAGGCCTGATGCCTGTCTCCCTGGGAGTTGTGGGTGGGCGCTGTTGCTGTACTATATTCTGTCTCGTTACTCCACAGAGTGGTCTACGTTTTGGTTTTGGTTAGCAGTTTGAGGGAGTCGCTGTAACACCTCATCCCTTATTTTGGGATTGACATAAGTAACGGGTGGCTGCAGCTGTTGAAGGTCTTGGTAACTTGGGAGAAAACGTGGTAGCAAAAAAAGACTTGGGTATTCTGTGGCTCGTTTTAACAAGTAACAGAGGTGCTTTAATGGATGTAATGAAAGAAGGGGTCATTGCCAACACTGTAACATGTTTAGGTAGTAAGCTGTGTATGTTTTCCTATAAGTTCATGGAATTTATAGTCAAAATACTGGAATATTCATGGAATATATACTCAAAATTCAATTTATAGTTTTGAAAATATGTCTCATGACCTACAGACCATTAAATTAGCATTTACCTTTGTAACTTCTGTATTGCAGGTGTAATATTGTAGCAGAGTACTAATGATACAATCTGGGAAAAAACCCCAACACATTAAAGTTTCTTGCCTATTTCTTACGTTGCATTTAATGGCATTACACTTAATATTTGGTTAACAGTGACTAATTTCAGTGTTTAGTTGCCCTCCCTCTTTTTTTGGCTGCTTAATGATGTTTCTAGCATTTGGATGTGGTTCTTGTACTGTTCTCCTCTAACTCTACCCCTCATAACTGGCATTTCCTCTTACCATCAATGCCCATGCAGAGGGATCAGGTAGTTCTCGTTCTTTCCCAGCATCAGGCTGATGCAGGTCTCCAGTGCATTCCTGTGTAGTGTTACGTATGCATTAGCGCGCTCTCTTTTCTTTACTGGATCCTTTCTCGTTTATCAGTTTCTTAACAAGCAGATATGGGAACTACAGTCACTCATGCGGTTTGTGAAGCAGTGCAGTGTGGGGTTGAACTGCCGCCCCATTGCTTCCCTTTTTTTTTCTTGGTAGCGTGTCTCAGGATGCCACGGTTTTGATTTACTGTTTGAGAGGGCAAGCTGAGCAGCTTGTCCACAATGATTTGTGAATATTCTTCAGGAGCAATGCACTCCAAGGAGCATCTCATTTTCTAACTGTGGGCTACATCCCCTGGTTTTTAGATACTTTCCATTTGTATCAAAGGGTCTTTGAGTGCTTTGGGTCTGCTTCCTGTGAAAAGTCTGCAGTCTTAAGATTTGCAGTAACTAAGGATTCTACGCATTAGGTAGTAACTTCTCTGAGCAGCTACACTTTTAAAAACACCTCTTTAATTTATTACCAGTTCTTCGTGACATGTAGAAAGGTGTTACTGAATATGTGTGTGCTTTAATAGCCTGGATATTTAATAGGTTCGAATGTTTTACGTTTGTAGATGAGCAGAGGTATACTTTTGAGTAAGAAATATTTTCTTGTAAGGAAGTGGATTTAAAGTGCCGTGTCAGCTGTTTTCTTTGTAAAAGCTTATTACTCATTTTGTTTTGAAATGTTGTAACAATGTCAAAGGGAATTCACAACAATGCCTAAAATTTCAGAGTGGACTGGTAAGTTCACCCTCTTGTTTATAACTTTTGCTTGAGTTAGGTTTGTACAACTGGAAGGAATGTATTTTGCTCGGCCTCTTTGAACAGATGCAACCATGTCCATATTATCACTCCATGTTGAGAGCAGAACTGGAACCAAATATTGGTCAGACGTTGACTTGTCTGCCCCAGTGAAAAGGTAAAATGGGCAGAGGTGGCCAAACTAAAATTCAACTCTTGGAAAGCGTTAATCTGTGTTAAATTGCCCTCTTTATTTGTTTGAGCTAGATGTTCAAAATGCCAGAAAAAGCGACTTTGTCATGCGTAAAACCTCCGTAATTATTAAAGGACTTGCTAGAAAAGTTCATGGTGAAGTGCGGTTGCAGGTAAAATACATAAGTGAGCAGGGGACTGATTCTGTGGTGCTGTTGGCAGTTCCTCGTGCAGCGCAAGTGCGCTTCCCCCTTAGAGGGAGAAGTGGGTTTTTTTGGTGTTGGTTTTTTTTTTTTTGTTTTTTTTTTTTTTTTAAGCAGTTTCTGCACTAGTTAATGTGAGTTTCTGGATTTATTTGGACAATAGAAGTGCTGCTTATAGAAGATGTATGAGATGTAACTGTCCTGAGCTGTGTCCACTTACCATCTCTGCAACTTTCTTGGCTTGGAGAACTCTATGCTAATGCAGTTACAGCTGAGTCCAGGTCTGAGAATAAAGTCAAGCCTAAACTTCATTTAAAACCTTAAACTCTTCTCCAATGTGGCTTTGAGCCTTGCTTTCAAAAGCTGGAGCAAATGGGGAGGAGAATCATACAGCTAATGATTCCAGCACATTATGCTGGCTATTCCCATCGGTCATCAGTGACTGTGATGAGACCCAGAAACAATTTGAGTGATGAAGCCAAAGTTTTGATTAGTTGCTTACAGTTGGAGTGGTATTAGCTTTGAGCCTCTGCAGGCACATCTGTGCTGGTGAGGTGAGCAGCGTGAGGGCCATTTCTGTGGCCCTGAGGCCAGCTGGCATGGTCTGACCATGTCTTTACAGTTGCGCTCCCTTGGCCTCCAAAGCCTGTACCTGCATCCAGGCCTGAGTAGTGGCACCTCCCAGGTTGTGCCCAGCCATTGTTTGGGGAAGCATTAGCTGGCCAAAAACGGCCTGGAGACCGTAGTATCCATTTACCAGCACTGACTATTGGTCTCTGTGCTGTGGCACTGTTTAATACAGTAGCAAAATAAAACCCAAGCCAACCCTAAGCTGATGTTGGAAGGTTGGAAAGTGGGTCAGCTCTCCCTCTTGCTAGTGTCAGTGACTTGCCTTTCAGTAATTTGCTTGGCAAATAAACATTGTTGATGCTTCATTAGCATTTGAGAATGCTTATTTTCATCCGTATTGGGTATCAGCCATCTACAAAGCAAGTTGACATCTATTTTGTCTTTTTTCTCTGCAAACAAAGAACTTGTACAACAAAATAAAGGAGATGCAAATGATCTGTTGCTAAACTTGACAGGTTTCTTGATTTAATATTGCTGGGCTCTACGTTCCTCCTTTCAATGAGCTTTGAAATCTGCTTACATACACTGCTGTTTAGTATTTCTCTCAAAGGAAGAGATTGCAGCGTGCGTTCAGGAAGGACACAAATGGAGAAATGCTACTGAAAGAAATACTCAGTGGCGCAAATAATTTGCTCCTACGGTGTGTTGCTGGAATTGCTCAGTGTAAAGATAAAAGCATGCTGTGTTTGAGAAAGCATCAGGAAATGTCATTAGGTTTCTGAGACTTATTTTCTTCTTCCATTGGAAGCTCCTATTTTTGTTTGTTACTCCTGCTACAAAAAAAGAGGTCCAAAACCATAGATACTTTTGTTTCGTGGTTCAGAACAAATGCTGTGAGAACATGGAGAAAATGAGCATGTGAAGGAGATGTCATTGGAAGTCCCATTTCCTCAGGCTTTAAAATATTACCAGAATTTAAGGGCTGTCAAACCAACTTTTATCAGCAAACACTGACAGTAAACTGTGTGAGGTTATAATTAGATTGGATGCAAAACAATAACCATGTAGGAGCTGTAGTAGTTGCCAATTACTGTTAGTATTCTGCGAGCTCGATGGCCTCTGCGGATGCTCCCGCAGTCAGGTTGGTTCTGCCTCCAAGGAGTGGTAGTTCCGTACCCACTGTCTCTTCTTTGGAAGGTTTTGTGCCAAAAGCCTCTCTTGCTGTATTTATTTATTCTGTGTTTGCGGGGCGAACCTGGAGAAGGATATAAAGGCATAAGGGCTGGGAACATACTGAGAGAGGACAATATTAAAAAATGTTCACTTCCGGTTGTTTGGACAGAATGCTGCTGTGGCTCTGCTCTGTATGTAAACATGATTTCAAGCCTACAGTATTGACCTCTCAGAGTTAGAATTAAAATCTTTTTAGTATGATTTGTTAGTGTCTCAGGCATGTATTGTTGACAGCAATAAAGTGTTGCTCATGTTGACAATCATGACTGAAATTATGCTCAGTCGCATGATTTCCCTTGAAATGCATGCAATAACTGTATAATCTGTAGAAATACTTCTTAACCTGGGCTATTAAAATACAAGAAACTTTGCAGTAGGAGGAAAAAGTGGAGTGCTAGGACCTCTGCTTTGAATATCTCAGTGTGGGATGAGGGAGCATCATGGCATTGGCCTGGTTTCCTCCCTCCAGGCCTTTCAGCATCTGAGCATTTGTTGGTGTTGTGCAGCCTGCTTGTCGGAGATGTTATAATCGAGATACCATCTCAGTGTGAAGTCCTGATACGTGACAGCCCTCCTATGAGAGGGTTAAGTCAATAGAGAATTACTCTTCTAATATGTTTATCCTGAATATCATAACGCACATATATATTTTCATATAGAAATTTCATTTTCTTTGTCATCCTCAGAACTTCATCTTCTGAAAGGGCTGTTCTTTGCCTTGTTTGCTAAGTGTGGGATGCCAATATAATTGCTCTCTGGTAATATAATTAGGTTGTATAAGGCTATTTGTTATGTATGCCACTCCAGTCAAAAATTTGCCAAAGTTTAAAGAGAAGCTAGCTGTTTATTCAGTGGCAATTACACATACTCTTAGCCCTTACCTCTGCAGACTAAAGCAATTTGTAATTTCCAGGTTTTTAAAAGTCCATTTGGTTTTCTTTTACCCATGGATTTCAATTTTTTTTTTCCTTTCCCCTGTGCTAACCAGACGAGCCAGACAAGTTACTCAGTATTTTTGTTATTGTTTTTTTACACTTTGGTAGTAGACTTTCCGTTTTGCAGTGTAGAATTAGTGATGGCCTGTGCTAACCAAACAAGCCAGACAAGTTACTCTGTATTTTTGTTATTTTTACACTTTGGTAGTAGACTTTTACGTTTTGCAGTGTAGAATTAGTGATGAAAATATGCTCTCCAGCGCTGTGCACAGAACTCTGAAAACTGCTTTTACAGTAGTATTTCATGTTACAACAGAGCTTTCAATTGCTGTATCCCTGTACCTCCCACCCAGATGGCAGGCATCTTCTAATGCTCAGTTACAGGTATTTCTCCCTTGTGCCTCTCTCAAGGGATAATGAAAAGGCTTCATTTTAAAGGGTTTTTAGACATTCTTTTTTTTTCTGAATTAGGGAGATGTGACTCAAGTGAAGCAGAAGCAGCTGGGCATGAAGCCAGGAGGTGTTTAAACCACTTGTACTCAGGTCTGAGTAGATCATCCAAACCTTCAGTTTTCTGTCATTTGCACTGGGTTTGCTTTCTGGGCTTTTTCTCCCTATGCTTTGTTTTTGTTCATTTGCACAGCACCTGGTCAGGGATGTCTGAGCAGAACTACTACACAATCACAGAATCACAAAGGTTGGAAAAGCCCTATAAGATCATCCAGTCCAACCACCAACCCAACACCACCGTACCCACTGGACCGTGTCCTCAAGTGCCACGGCTACACGTTCCTTGAACCCCTCCGGGGATGGTGACTCCACCACTTCCCTGGGCAGCCTGTCTCAGTGCCTGACCACTGTTTCAGTAAGTTTTTCCTAATATCCAATCTAAACCTCCCCTGACACAACTTGAGGCCGTTTCCTCTTGTCCTGTCACCAGTTACGTGGGAGAACAGGCCAGCACCTGCCTCCCTACACCCTCCTTGCAGGGAGCTGTAGAGAGCCATCAGGTTTACTCCAAGCGTCCTTCAGGCTGAACACCCCCAGTTCCCTCAGCTGTTCCTCATCAGACTTGTTCTCCAGACCCTTCCCTGGCTTTGTCACCCTTCTCTGGACACGCTCCAGCATCTCTGTCCTTCTTGGAGTGAGGGGCCCCAAACTGAATGCAGCACTCGAGGTGTGGCTTCACTGGTGCCGAGTACAGGGGCACAGTCACGACAGTCTTGTTACTGCAGCCAGATGTACGAAGATGCATTTTCCCTTGCCACAGTAGCTTAATTCTACAAACTAGCCTTTGCGCTGCAAGTCATCGCTCCTGAGAGTAAGCTTATCACACCTTGCCGTGTTGAAAACTCCTGGGTTTGTTTCAGTACTTTGGGGAAAAAAATATGTATATTAACGAAGTTCGTGTATATTCCCAGCCAGAACTGAGCTCCTGGGAACACAAATTCTGATCATGTGCATAGATTATTAAAGTTAGGTACCTGTAAACAACATGATTTGCATTTAAAAGGAGTCATGTTCCCAGGGATATCCAAGCCTTCCCATTTAAATTTATTATCACAAAACCAATCTCATCTCTATTTCAGCCCTGGTTTGTTTTGTTTTATTGAGACCACATTAATAAACATTAATAAATGTCGTATTTACTCTTCATCTGCCAAGTAGATACCAAGCCAGGACAACGCAAAACCAATGCTAGCTGTCTGCCCACAAGAGGCATTAGCGGAAGCCCAGGACACACATACCAGTTATTTTCTAGCACAGCACATTTCAGATTTAATTAACTATGGCTGTGCAATATGGTTAAGCTCTTCATAATTAAGACAGACCCACGCATGCCAGACACAGCAAAGTCACCACGAACACACAGCTCCGGCCTGGTTTTATGCCATGTGCCTGGGAAGTCCCAGCATCTGGGAGTGCGAAGTTCCTACCTCCACAACAGTTCTGGGAGGAAACGTCTTTCGTACAACAAAGAGGATCAGCAGCACCCGCTGCGGGAAGACTTTGCCCAGCACTGCAAAATCACCTGAAAAGCACCCCTCTCCAATATTTTCCTTCTCCAAACCTGTGAGCAGACATCCTCACCTGCAAGCACACCACAGTTCCCACTGCCTGTTTTTTGTTCATCTAACCCAGACCTGTGACACTGCATTAAACCCAAAAATGCAAGCACTTCCCTTTAAACTTAATGTTGACCTTACTCAGCCTTGGGCTTTCTCTCCCCAA